TGAGGCTGAGGCTGAGGATGAGGCCGAGGCAGGCCGAAGCTGAGACAAGGTGAGGCTGAATGGGGGGGGGAAGGGGGGGGGAGGGGAGGCTGAGGCAGGCTGAGGCCGAGCCAGGCTGAGGCCGAGGCAGGCTGAGGCTGAGGCTGAGGCAAGAGGAGGCAGGCTGAGGCTGAGGCTGAGGCTGAGGCTGAGGCAGGCTGAGGCTGAGGCAAGCTGAGGCTGAGGCTGACGCAGGCTGAGGCCGAGACAGGCTGAGGCTGAGGCTGAGGCAGGCTGAGGCTGAGGCAGGCTGAGGCTGAGGCTGAGGCAAGCCGAGGCAGGCTGAGGCTGAGGCTGAAACTGAGGCAGGCTGAGGCATCCGTAGGAATCCATCGGAATCCTTAGGAATCCCCAGGAATCCTTAATAATCCGTAGGCATCCTTAGGAATCCGTCGGCATAGTTAAGCATCCTCAGGAATCCTTAGGAATCCTGAGGATTCATATGGATTCCTAAGGATGCCTAAGGATGCCTTTGGAATCCCTAGGAATCCTTAGGATTCCATTGGATCCTAAGGCCGTTGCCACTGCGACTGTCATTGCGAATGCGACTGCGACTCCGAGAACTGCAGAATTCTACAACTGGATTCTCACCTGAATCTTAAGGGGAATGCTTCCAGATATGCTTATGCACATCGCTGTTAGGTTGCTTCGTTGGGATAATATTTCCTCCCACCTCCACCTCCGCCTCCTCCTCCTCCTCCTCCTCTTCGTCCTCTTCATCCTCCTCGTTTTCCTCGTCCTCCTCCTCCTCCCTTACCCTGTCCCCCCTGTCGTGCGGGTCGGCGCTGCAACGCACGAGCGCTTCTCAACGTGAGCCGCAAACACTTGGTTCTCGGACGGCCAATTTACCTGGAGTCTCCTCAACGCAGATGGGAGGAAAGAGGATGATGCGAGCGGAGTCCGGAGGACTCGCAGATTCCAGCGGCGCTCTTTCTTCATAAGGAATCATTTTCTCCAAATCCTATACGAAACATGTGTTCCCCATTGAATCCACAGGCGCTCCATTTTGTCATAAAGGGTTTCTCATAACATTCGATATACAATAATGATGTTTTGTTGCGCGCGGTCGATGTGGTGCACACGCGCCCCGTGGTGTACACAGGCGCTGTAGTGCACGCAGGCGTTGTGGTGTACACGGGTGTTGTGTTGCGCGCGGCAAATGTGGTGTAAGCAGGCGCTGTGGTGTACACAAGCCTTGTGGTGCCAGTGGGCAACTGGCACACACTGGCGCTGTGTTGCACGCGGCTGCTGTGGTGTTTGGCACGCAAGCACTGCGGTGTACACAGGCGTTGTGGCGCACATCGCCACCGACATGCTGCTGCTACCCGTCCTCGGTCATTCCTAAGCATTCCCAGACGCCGCCGGCGCGAAACGTGCCGGCATCGGCCCCCTCCACCCCCCCAGATGATTGCATCATCGGCCCGGAATAAAAGAACAGGCTCCAACTGCGTCCGCGCGCACGACAGAGATGAGCGACGAGCGACGAGCGACGAGCGACAACGACAAAGACGACGACGACGACGACGACGGCGGCGACGACGACGACGATGACAACGACGACGACGATGACGACGACGACGACGACTGCGGACCAAACTCCTGCGCGGATTCCTTTGCGGACGCCTATGCGGATCACGATGCGCACGGCGGCAGTGCCCGGAACGCGCAGGGGGGGAGCCTTGCGTCAAAGGGGGGGGCGGGGGCGGGGCCGGGGGCCATGACGCCCGTCATGCCCCAAGCAATAAAAAAAACGCGTCTACGGTTGCCCGCACGCAGGGCAATAAAGCTTCGCCGGTGCTGCGCTCCCCCAAGACGGGCAACGGGCTGTCGGACTTTGAACCAGATGCGATACAGCCCAGGCATCCTCCCGATTCCCCTGAATTTGGCATTGACATGAGCGGCTTTCGATTTGTTCTGCATCGGAATCCGCGCCGAGACCGCTGCTTGCATCTGCTTGGGCATCGCGCCGACGTGCCTGACCAGAAGCAGAAACTGGCAGACCAGGCAAGCCTGGTCGAGCGACAGGCCCTGGAAATGATTCGGGTGTCGCACGTGAGAGACTGTTGGCGGCAGTTATCAACTGCTGTTGCACCAATCCGAACCAGCAGGGCCTGATGTGAGCTCCGTGGTGCATGATATCGAGGCGCGTCCAGCAGCGGTGGCGTTTGCCCAATCGATCGGCCTCGAACCCGGGCTTCCGAGGGGGCCCGGGCTTCCAGATTCTTGGTCCGCCGATGAGCCCAATCAGCGTTGCTTTGGTGCCACTTGAACCCGCTCTCTCCAAGCCATGGAAGCCTCCGCTTTGTCCAAATCCTCTTTCCGATTGAGAAAGTTCGCGGCGGGATTAAACATGTCATCTAAAACTTGCAGCCCCGCATCGCGATCCAGAACCCCCGCGTGTAAGTCCAGGGTGAGAAAGCGCATGTCCTGGCCAGAACTGGCGCTGCAATCTCGGAGGCCTTGGACTCTTGAAACTCTGGCGGGGGGCCAGCCGGGCCCCTCGTGATCTCTTCGAGCTAATTGGCATCCGACATAATGAACTTGAGGCATCAACTATCGCGGGACGTTGCGCGGCCGCCGCGGCGGCACAGCATGCGACTTCCAGCCTACGCGGCCATCCGTTTAAAATATGTTCGGCCTTGGCCCAGCGAGCCCGCGGGGCACGCGCCCCTGGCCTGGAACGCGGTTTCAAAACCGCGTCGGCAAGCTCAACTACGGTGACTTCTAAAAGATGAGAGGCCTGATCCAAGAGTCGCCGCCGCTCATCCGGGCGTGGTTGTTCACGGCTGCGTTCCAGCAGCGCCGCAGCAATTTGCACAGCCGCCTCGGTGCGCTCGGGCCACTTCGGCCCAAAAACTAGCCTGGTCGGCAGACGCTGCGGCTTGCGCGCAACTGGCGCGGCGCAGCAGTCGTCGGCCTGCACGTCAACGCTGACAAGGCGGTGCGGCGACAGAGGGTAGCACCCGGGAGTAGCCCAGAACATGTTCCAAACAACTGCCGTTCACAAAATATGATGAACATGTGTGCGGGCGTGGTTCTACACGCATGTGCAATCGACGCTCTAACACACATGGCCGCCCCCTGACTATGCGCAATACACCGCATCGTGCTAGGGATCGTGATATAGCCGCCTGCTATGATGATCGGCATCAGGTGCTGGTCCTGCCAGATGACCGCTGCGGCCAACAAACCTAAGTTAGTCGTGTGCAGGCCAGCGCTGGCCCGCATGTTAGCTGATGTGGCCCTGGCGACTCCAAACCCAGACAGCTCCACCCGAACTCCCACAAGGCGCCCCTGAGCAATGATATCCCAGGCTCCTGAGGCCCCAAACCAAAGCCGCTGCGGCCCAAAGCGCAAGTTCCAGATATAAAGGGGTTCAGTGGAGCTGTAGTTGCCTGCCTGAACTTCTGCACCGCTGCTTGCCAACATTCGCGCTGGCACCACTGGTTAGACTGGGCAATTGCCTGCTCAGTGCACAACTTTACCTCATGCGCGCAAGCGGTGTGGGTGTGCTGGCCAGGCTCTGACTGCACGAGGTTCTCCACCTGCGGCCAATGGCTCCCGTTGATGGTGCTGTTGCGATACATGCTACCCCGATCGATCCTGCAGACGTTGATCCCGAAACGCCGCCGCAGAAGCGCTTTGGTGGATTCCTCGTCGGCGAGACCTGCCAGCGCCAGCTTGGTCTGCGTGGCCTTCATCTGTTTATGGGTTCGCTTGCGAGCCTCCGCAAATTGGGCATCCTCAGGGACAGCCACATTGTCAGCGGCCTGAGCTGATTCGGGTGGTACTTCTGCTGCGGGTGCATCAGATGGTCGCTGATGGTCTTCGCCTTGGTGATCCTCTGGCTCCACGGGCTTGTCCACTCCATCCTTGTGCTGTTTGTCTTGGATTGTCTCCAAGATGCTGGCCCTGGCAGCCAGATGCTGGTCTGGCTCGATGCGCCCTGCGATGAGCGAGCGGACGGCCTCGTACATGGGCCGGTCTTGGGCGGCCTTCTGCGCCGCAGCCTGCTGCACCTCTGAGGCTGCGTCTGCAGCCTCTGCACATCAGCGCTGATCTCCTGATACTTCTCCACGAGCCTTGGACTGCTTGTCGCCGATGGTGATCAGCTGCTGCGTGAGCTGGTTGACGGTATTCTTTGACTGCTGGAGGCGGCGCTTCGACTGGGCCAACTGATGCTCTGCGCCTGTGGGTCCCAGGTCTCGTCCTGAAGTGCGATCTGTTTGGCTAGTTTGAGGGCCTCGATCGTGTCATTGTGCTCCTTGCTGTTTTCTCCCTTCCACTGCTTCCAGAGGGTAACCTGGGCATGGGTAGGCTCGACTTGCGATGTTTCTTCTCTTGTGGCATGACATCGAAGTGGGTGCTCGTCACGGAGCGCGTCCAGAGCGGGGGACGGTGGGGGACCACGCTCACGGGATTGCTGGAGGCCGCGCCAGCGATCTTTGCCCATGCCTTCGCCCCCAAGTTCCTCAGATCCTCCTCCTCCTCCGCCTCGTGGTTGAGGGGCCCACGAAAGAACACGATTCAAACGACCTCCTCCGTAGCAAGATGATGGTCTACCTCCAACTGGCAGCTTGTCTGTGAGCGACATCTTTTTGTTGCTGAACTTCGTGCCGCAATTCGTGCACTGGGTAGCTCCAGGATCAGCCCCGGCCCAGCCGCTGCTTCCATGCCGTTGGCACACAAGGCGCTTGCGAGCCGTCGCGGCCGCCCATCCGATCAAACACACTGGGCCGAACTCAGCTAGTGACGGATAGTCCCTCGGGCGAGGGTTTGCTACGGAGGGCCGCAGCGGGGACGCGGCTGACAATGGTCTCCTGTCGACCTGGCGCGGGCTGCCTCGAGCCGCCCCCCTTGGCAGCGACCAAGTACGAAGCGCCAGGGACGCACGTTTCGCATTTGAGCCGAATGGCCACGGAAAAAAGGAGAAAGAGGAGGAGGTGGAGGAGGCGGAGGAGGACCAGGGGGCGGAGGACCAGGGGGCGGAGGATCAGGGGGGCGGAGGACCAGGACGGGGAAGACGGCGAGGCAGCCGTAACAGCGGGGTCCCCTGCGTCGGCCGATTGGGCCCGCGACACAGGAGAGTGGCCGCTGGCGGCGCGAAGCTCTGATGGCACTAATTCTGTGTGAATTCACTCTGACGCGTTCCGCCTGAGCAAACGAGTGTACTGAGCATGCATTCGTCAGTCCGTCGCGGTCTTCAACGCCGCTCCGCTGAGGCTGCTGCTGCTACTTGTCCTCCAACTGCACCCCCTGCTCATTTTACGGTATGTCCAAGCAAGGGGAGCGAGGAAACAGCAATGGCGGAAACGCTGGTGTGCTGGCGAATGCGACGCGTCATGCTGCGTGCGTGGCACTGGCCCCAAAGCTCTCGACCCCATCCCAGGGACCGTTTCGCCCACTGGGTCGGGGCCCGGAATCGGCCTCCAGAGACCTCCAAACTTGAAACTTGAGGGGCCCACGAACCTGGTAAAGAAATTGAGCCAGACCTCGTCATGACATGTCCGCTATGCGCTGGTGTGTCATGCTCTGGAATGCCGTTTCGTATACCATGCGCTTCGGTGCTGAAAGCGGGAAAGCAGGACAAGAGAGAAGCAGAACAAACTCTAACAAACGAAAGGCTGTAACCATTGACCCACACCGTGGCAAACACCAAACGATGAGGCCAGGGATCGGGCACCGCTCGCCCCTCCCCTACATTCGCGCAACTCCCATCCTGTCTCTGCCCCATCCTCCTCCTCCTCCTCCTCCACCTCCTCCTCCTCCTCCTCCGCTTCCTCCGCCTCCTCCTGCTCCCTCCTCCCACTTCTCCCCAGCCTCGTCCTCGTCCTCCCCCTCCGCCCCCCTGTGCTCGCTCTCCTCGTCGTCGTCGTCGTCCGCAGCCCGAGCCGCAGTCAGCCCCCAGGAGGCCCGCCGTCGGCTATGAGCCGCAATCGCCTCTCGGACCGAATGCAGAACAACTCGCCGCGTGCATGTGGGACATTCCCCCTTGGCCCCCCAATGTCGAGACACCCCTTGGGCTCCCGCACGCGTGAACACACATGCCACGTGCGCACGCGTGCCAAACACATGCTGCTCGATACCCACCCTTCCGCGCACTTATATTCACGCTCCGGAGGAACAACCAAAAACACCACTCCAGCACGCCCTGCTTAACACCCTCCTGGTCAAGGGCCAAAAGGCCCGACCACCCAAAGAGAACCCCGGGCCCAAGCCGTCATGGAGAGCAGCGGCCGCCTCAGTTTTTCGCGGCGAGGGAGGCCTGGGCTGACGTGCTCGCGAGCAGGCGGAGCTCGACTCCGCTGAGGGCGTTGTTGACGCTGCCAGTCGCTTGAAAGACAGGCTGCGCGAGCCCCAGCGGCTTCTGCGCTCGGAGCCCACCAAGGAGGGAGGGATGGGCGAGAGGAGGGAGGCGAAGGAGGCAGAGGGGAGGGCGTAAAGGACAAACATGAGGAGGTGGAGGGGATCAGGGGGGGGAACAGGGAAGAGGAGGGAGGAGGAGGACGAGGAGGAGTAGCAGCAGGAGGAGGAGGAGGGGTTCAGAGGTCTTCGGCGGTCTCTGGATGTTCCGATAGGGGGAAGGAAAGAGACAAGGGGGTGAATGGGGTGGAGTGGAGGTGGGGTGGAGGGATCGGGAGGGGGGCAGGGAAACGAGGAGAGATGGAAACATGGAGACGGGGAGACAAGGAGGGAGTAAGGCAGGGAGGAAGGGGCGGACGTGCAAGGAAACCATGTAATGCGAGCGGACTGCGTCTGTATCGTCGGCCTGCTACTAGTAGCTACCTCCGTTCGCCATCCGCGATATGAGTTCTGGCCCAGAAAAATGGACCTCGACCTCAGTTGAGGTCCCCGAGCGTCATCTCCTCCCCTTTCCCCCACCGCCTCCCTCTTCCCTCCTCCTCCTCCTCCTCCTCCTCCTTCTCTTCCTCCTCCTGATCCTCCTTCTCGTCCTCCTTCACCCCGTCTTCGCAACGAAGCAAGACAACGGCAACATCTTTAAATGTGCTGCGACTGTAGAGCGTTAGTCCGCAAGCTGCGTCGCAGTTAGCGATCTGAAACATCCAACGCTCAGGAGGAAGGAGTCTGCCGAGGGCCTATTCCTGAATCTCTTCATTGTCACTATCCTCTCTCTCTGTCTCTTTCCCTATATTTTTCATATGGTCCTCCTCCTCCACCTTGGCGACGCAGGCAGAGCTCCTTGGCTCAGATCTGCAGCTCTTGGGATCTGCCGTTCGCTGCTCCGTGCTCTGCACCATGCTGCTGGAAGCTGCGCGCGCCGTTGCCCTCTTCGGGCTGGGCGGACCCCGGCTCCTGGGTGAGGGGCGAAAACGCCACGACGATGACGATGACCCTGAACATGGCACGGCTAACAGGGAACATGTCGACCCCTATACCAGGCTTCGTGGAGGTTTCGGATGGACCGGAGATTGCGGGCCCAACCCTGGGATATACAGTAGGGGGGGCGTCCACGCTCGAAAGGGGTGCGTCCTAATAGCCCCCCTTGGGTGTATCCCAGGGCCCCCCTCCTTTCCTGAGCGGCCTCTTTCTTCGTCGAAAAGTCAGGGGCTGGGGGAGATGATGCTGACGCCAGTGGTGAGATTGACGCAGATGACGCGGAGGAACAACACAACTTCATATTCGCACGAACTTTCGGAGGTCATTGCAGTGGTTTGGGATCAGCGCTGGATCCCCCATGGCGGCGCCGGAGGCGCCTGGCGCGCTGTGCGCGCCAGAGAGGGGAGCCCAGCGCGGACTTCCAAATTTCATGTTTGCTGTTTGTTTCATTCGATGGTTGGTGGTCGGCGCTGCAAGGAATGGGTCAGGAGAAGCAGCCGCACCGCGGTCCCTTCTCCTCCGCGGTTCATGGTGCTCTCGCCTACTCAGGCCGCGCTCCGTGCAAGAAGCATGCACTGATACCCATGATGGGCCGTTTCATCGAGGATTGACAGATTAGCAAGAACACTCTTTGTGAAAGCTGCCAGGAACACTCCACGTGCGCACGGCAGGGCACTCCGAATGGGCCGGGGCGGGGAAGATAATCGACGTCCGAAGAACCGTCACATGTGCTCGGCGGTTAGCGAAGCCGACGGGGAAGTGCACAGGCACACTGCAAATGCCAATGCCGAGTGGGCCGGCGCAGAGCTCCTCGAACAACTTGTCAGGGAGGGCGATCTCTTATTGCCCGGTTTCAGCACAGACAGGGCGCAATTCTCTGCACTCGCCGCTGGCACGAAAAGCCAGCGCAACGACCTGAGGCGGCCATGCGCTCCTCGCGCCTGCCGTGCCCTCCGTCGAGCCTTTGTGCGTAAAGTCAGCTTCGCGATGGCCTGTGCCGCACTGCACTTCGAAACACGTCCAGAGGAGGGCCATCCACCAGCCTCAACCCAGCCCGATGCGCTGATGACCCGCGCTGGCGGAGAGAAACCAGCCACGGGCGCGCGGGCGCCAGAGCCCCGCGTGCGAGCCTGCGTGCGATGTATCTCCCGTGTCGCCTCGTCGTTCGTTCGCCCATCAGGCTCGCGCCGTCGTCCTCCTCTTCCGAATGTTGCGGGTCCGTGCGGGGCGATCCATGAACCGACGTCCGAGAAACCGGCAGCGCGAAACGCTGGGAGCGCCAGCGCCGCCTGCGGGGCCTCCCAGCCTCCCGTGGCCTGGCGGATGGCGCAGCGCGCGGAACTGCTCGCCGTGCCTCCGCCTCGTCATCATCTGCCTTGCCGGGCTCCGCCTTCAGCTGCGCAATCTGGGCCTCAAATGCAGTCCGCGCCGCGAGAGCGACTGCGGAGGCCCCGGCGGGACAGCCAGCTTCAGGCACACCTGCAGGGCGTGCTCCTTCGCAGGCTGGCGCCGCTGGAGGTCCGCCCCATCGTCGAGATTGCCACCGCCCGTCCCAGGGCGATGAGCCCTGTGCCCTCATCGAGCCGGCGACGTGCGGCACTTCGGCGTGGTGCCCGACGCACTGCTCGCCCCCCTCCCAGGGGCCGAAGACGCGATGCATGTTCCCCGTCTTGCCGCCCCACGGCGTGCTCGACGCACTCCTCGCGCGGGGACCGTGGGAGCCACGTGCCCCCGCCCCGCCTTGCTCGTCGCCGCGCTCGCGGTGCCCGCCCTGCTGCTCCGCGACCTGGCGCGCGTCCCGCTCCTCCTCGCACTCGGCGCGGCGGCAGGTCGCGCCGCGTTGAGCGCGTCCCCGGCTCGCGCGCTGCCGGCGCCCGACCTGCTCCTCAGCGGCGCAGGGCGCGGCGCGCTACGCGCCCTCGTCGCGGGCCTGCGGCAACCGCGCCCGCAGCGCGCGCTCCTGGCACGAGGAGGGTGGCCCTGCACAACGGCGCGCCAGCGGGCGGGG